TGCAAGGGGATTCTCTTATCCAAGCTCCATCCTGAAAGCAGTTTTGTTTCCTAGCCCCTTTTCCTCCTCTTGGGAAGCCATCCTAGATACTTGATGAACCGGAGATCCTTCTTTCTTCCTCAGTGTCCAGGTTTTCCTGCTTTATCCCCCGTCTTCTCGCAACCTTCCCCCAGTTCTTCTGCTGCAATGTCAGTCCCCCAGCAGAGAAGGGGATGTGCCAGTCCCAAGCAGAGCACGGAAATGGTCATGGAACCACAGAATGTTTGGGGTTGGAAGGGACCTCTGTGGGCCATCCAGTCCAACCACCCTAATAAATAAATGATACAGCAGCTAATTAACTCCTCATGTTGCTGAACATCATTAACACCAAGCTCCTTGTCCAAGCCACACCCTGCTAGTCTTGCTACCCTGGGAGCAGGACAGCATCTTCCTGAGATGCTGAGGAAGAGGAGCCCGTGGAGGCTGCAGGTCAAATCCTGCTCCTCTCACCAGTCAAACCTGGTTGCAGAATGCCCCAGCGTGGGACGCAGCTTGGATTCACGAAGGCGAACGCCCTTTGCAGGGCTCATACTGGGGACGCTTTTGACCTACGCTTCGGCTCAGCTGTGGGGCTAGGCAACACCTCCCAACGGTTTGCCATCACCGAGAGCATCTTCTGGTCACCAGTACTTGGCTTAAGATGCCGCAGGGAAGACGAGCAGTGACTTACCCAAGGGATCTCCATGCCTCCGGGGACTCTTGCCACCGAGTCCCACATCAGCTGCGCATTATTTGCGGACACACAGCTCCGAGCAATCCTCAGGGGCTGCTCCATGGCTGCTTCTCCAGCCCTTCCCCACCAGGGAGCATCTGGGGTTGAATCTCTTAGGGCTTGCAGCAAAACCCAGCAGCGAGGAGGCCCCAGCCACGCCAAAAATAAAAGCAGCGGTCAGCGTCGATTAGGAAGAAGTGCTGGTGGCTGGAGGGCTTTTTGCTTCCTCCAATTCCAGGAGCTGACTCCTGCCTGGAGGATCCTGTTATCTCAATAAATATCGCTAATAATTGAGGCTCTGCCTGCTCACCACAAGGCTGTCCAGCTGCCAGGAGCACTGAGAGACATCTCTGTTATTTCTTAGCCAGAGCTGCAGCGTTAGCCTGGGGTATTAGTTCAGCGCCGAATAATTCCGCGTGGTCTCGTTGATTAATCATACAGTTAAGTCTTGCAGGGTGGGACTGCACACAGGAAAGCCTCTAACTAGCCAGCTAATTTAAGAAATTGCTGAAAGCACAGCCCAAGAGCAGCACTCATTCGTTTGGATTTCGTTATGCTGAGGTGCTGTAAAACAGGCTTCTCCCAAAGCCCTCCAAAGGGCCAGGAGCAGGGACCCCAGGCCGTCCTTACTCATCCAAGCAGCCCACAGCCATGGAGAACAGATTAATGCCCGTCCAAGGCTGGGTTAAAAATATTCAGCAAGCCCTGTGTTTGGACAGAAAATCGGAGTTTTGATAGGGAGAAGCTCGTCCTGGTTTCTTTGGGAAGCTGCGTCTGCAGCGAAGACCAGAGCAGTTCTCCAGCTGCAGTCCTGAGCTCACCGTGAGGAACAGCAAACCTTCTGCTGGGCTGTTCCACCTCCCACCCCAGAAGGTCCCACCACGGTGTCCATCTGGGGATGGTCTGCCTGGACTCCCACCCCTCGAGCAGCTGCACATCATCCATCTCCAGCTTCTAGCTCCTCTTGTAGCCCATCGGTGACACCCTGTGCTAGGTTCCTGCATCCCTTCGCTTTCATCCTCTTCTTCAGCCTTCCCAGCATGTAAAGGTTAACTCTGTTTTCTCTGCTGCCAGGAATAAACCCCCCCCACGGCCCCAAACAACGCTTCCTATTTATAACTTTCTGAGTTAATCAGAAAGGCCAGCGCTTCGACAGCTACGTGATTAAAAATTAGGAGCCCGGATTCTGTAGTGGTGCCTTATAATAACCACCAATCCTGGGAGCACGGGGGATGAATAATGGATCACGGCTCTCTGCTACTGCCTTCTGGCTTTCCCTGCTTTCTTCTTCCCCTCTTTTTATCTTTCATTCTCCTCCTCCTCTCCGAGGCTGGAGTTTGAGCGCCGAAGGAACGCATCCATCCTTCGTTTTTGCAGAAGTTAGGGCTGTTGAGAGACGTTGCCGATTCCTGTTCGTCAGACCCTCTCCTCCCCAGCCAGATCCCCTGCTTAGCCAGCCTGGAGACCATCAATAATTCGCAGCTACCTGTGTAACCAGGGGATGACAACCACTTACCTGGGAAGATGTCATCGGGACCCCTTCTCAGCTCCTTAAGCAGCTCCCCAGGCCTCGCTGCTAATCCAAGAGAGGGAAACAGCAGGTTGGAAGAGGAGGTTTTCTGGCACAGGGAAGACAAGCGGTCCCATGCACGAGGTTGTCCCCCGCTCCGTGATGTCCCCTAGGTTTCATGGGCAGCTAAGGGACAGGCTGGACTGCTTTGAGGACGCGATGTTGAGCTGCAAAAAATGGAAGCCTTCAGCTGGCACCCAGTGGGACCGGGCGTTTGCAGGACACCAGGCAGGGTTGTTAAACATCCCACTGTGAAAGGTCCCTGCATTTAATCCCAAGATGCTCTTCAGAGAAAGGCTCGTGGGTTGGGTTTTCTTCCTGGCTCCACAAGATGAATTTCCAAGATTTCCCAAGCTGAGGTCAAATTCAATTAATAGCTCCAGCGAGGGGGAGAAAAGCTGTTGAAAAGTATCAGGGTTTTTCTTTAAAAACAGTATAAACTCACCCAAAGAAAGGGTTCTTTTTTAAACAGTGGAAAGAAATACTTCCTTAATAGTTAAACAGCATCAGAATGAAGCAGAATTTTCCACATTTTCATATTTCAGAGGCTGACGCATTTCAACTAACCCAAACCACAGATTTTCACCTTTTTTTTTTTCTGCTCTTGTAGCCTGAAAAAAAATTGTACATTTTGGATCCATGTAGAAAAGCTTTTTTTTCCCCAGTCCCTGGGTTCCACCCACTGAGCTGAAAAATCCCATTACTCACGGCGCTTGGCAGATGTCTACGCGACCAGCGTTGTGTGCAACCAGCACGTCTGCCTCGCCTACAGATCCCGCAGCCACCTTGGAATTGTCAGGGAACGTAATCCCCTTGCGTCTCCCGAATCCAGCCCCGCGCCCGAGGAGCCAGCGAGGAGTATTTTTTAATATTTCCCAGCCAGCTGAAACGCCGGGGCAGCTCAGGAGCAGAAGTGGAGATGCCTTTGGCCAACTTTGACATTCGATTGGCGTGGCTCAGCCTGGTGCCGGCCAGCTCAGGGTGGATGGGGGAGTCATGACAGGCGTGGGAATAAAATCAGATCTCCACTTTGGTGGAAAAAAAAAAAAAAATCAGCAGATTTCCCCCAGCTGCATCCCTTGGTGAGGCTGCTGAAGGGTAGGAGGCTTTTGGCCCCTGCTCCCAAGCTGGGATGGGTTGGACTAGATGACCCACAGAGGTCCCTTCCAACCTCGAACATTCTGTGAAGCTGGGTGTGAAGCAGCAATATCTTTCCACATCCTTTACCAGCATGAGCACTTCTGCTTGGGCAAGAGGGGCCGCAACAGAGATGACCTTCCACTGCGTCCTCCACATTTCTGCTGGCTTCCCAACGCCATGTGGGCCCCAAGAGGTCCCAAAACAGGCCACGAGGTGGCTGGGCAACACATCTCTGTAGCCAGACCTACACTGGGTTGCCCAAAGGATCTGGTTGGGAAGAGCTGGACTGACAGCCATACAGACCCCTCCATCTTCAGAGCAGGTCTTGGCTAGAGCAGACCCTATCAGGGCACCAGAGGTGGAAGGTCCTCTCCACAGGGTGAAAGCCTCTCTCTCCATCTTAATTGCCCATCTTCTACCATGCTTCTACCATCTTCTGCCATGCTGGGGGTGTTGATGGAGATGCCAGGCCCCAAGAGCTTGTCACGAAAGAGGAGACCACGCTCAGGTGGCCCCTCAGCTCCTGCTTCCACCCCTCCTCCTTGTCTCTGGCATGAACAAGGAACAGATGCCCAGGGGCTGCGTGGTACCAGCAAAGCTGCACCCTGTAACGAGGATGCAGCCTCACACAGGCTGTCAGGCCAAGGTGATGTCAAAGGAAGGTTGAGATCTTCAACGTCTCCTCAACACCCCCGGCAAAATCTGCTCTCGCGGAGGGAGACGCTTGAAAGACTCACCGCGGCAAGAGGGAGTCCGACCGGATGAGAGGAGCTCTGCAACCTTCTGTGCGGCGAGGCAGCAGCACAGGCAGGGAAATCAAAGCCGGGCAAGGGAGTGCTCAGGGGTTCCTCCAGCCCTCCATGAAGCAGGGCTGGCAAGGGAGCCCGTTTCAACGGCAGGCATCTGCAAGCCACGCTCCCGATGCCCATAATGAGCTGTTCCCCCCCTGAGAGCAGTAGGTAACAGCCCAAACCCAGCTCCCCTGCCCAGATCACCCTCACCTACCTTCCAATTTGCAGTCAGAAGAACAGGGCTCACTCCAAAGCCCCTCTGAGCCCCATATCCCGCGTCCAGCCCCAGCCAGTTACAGTTGCCTGGGGAGCACTAGAAGAGCGGGGCCAGCAAGCAGGGATATTTCTTTCGAATGCTCTCCATCTTCCCACAGTTTGCAGCTCAGGGACTGTCCTGGGCCAGAGGTGCTTCGGAGTATTTAGTAGCCCTTGGTGGATTTCTCTACCACTTCCTTGATCCTTCATATTACTGCAAAGCTCAGGCAACCACCGGGCCCGTGTCCCCCGTGAAACTTCAGCCAGTTTCTGTAGTTCAGATCTGGGGCACAGCTTTTCTGCTAGCAGCAAAAGCCAAGCCAGCTGTAACCAGGTGGGATGGGGCTGCATGCTGCCACAGCCCCATCAAAGCTAGCTGCAGAGGTTGGAGATGTCACAGTCCAGTCCTGGCAGCCCACACCCCACTGGTGGCAGCGGGAAGGTTGGTTTCATGCTAGCAAGTGACTGTCTCCTCCGTGCTGTTTCCTTGCAGTTCCTCCAGATGATCCTGTCATCATGGGAGGCCCCATCATCAGCCTGAGAGCAGGAGACCCCCTCAACCTGACCTGCCACGCAGACAACGCCAAGCCAGCGGCCTCCATCGTCTGGATGCGGAAAGGAGAGGTCGTCAACGGAGCCACCTACTCCAAGGTGAGGCAGGATGGGGCTGGGGGGGAAACACCCTGTGCTCTTCCCTTGCTTCTGAAAGGCGTACCAGACCTGACACTTTTTTTTCATGCAGCCCCAAAACATCTAGGGCAGTGCCTTCAGCTCTGCAGAGCCGAGCCTCTCACCCCACATCACCCTCTCGGTGGAGAGGAAAGCAGTCAGGAGGGTGCAAGGGGGAAGCCACAAGCTGTCACCAAAGCTTTGAGTTCAGCTGGCTTCTTGTACCCTCTCACAGCTTTCAAGTTGCCTGGTGTGCCCACTTCTCCCCCCAAAAATCCCTCCTGGGGGTGGTGTTAATATCATGCAGAACACCAGCTGACCTGGCCTTGGCTGTGGCAGAACCTCGGGAGCACAAGGTGGCTGCAGCGACGTACGTCCCCTCCTCCAGCTGCAATTTGCCATGAAAAATTGTCAGGGTTGTTGGCATTTTTTAATTTAAATGGAAAGCCTTTATTGGGTCGTAAAGGAAAACATCAAAGAGCAATCAGCAGTGTACTCAGAACGGGTACCCACATGTTCTCCTGTTTATGGACGCCTGGGAAGCGCTAAAGATTCAGCAGCACTTGACATTTCTAATGAAGATTTGGAAAGAACAGAACTCGAGACGTAAAACAGGTCAGCTTGCAGCCATTTGTAACGCAAGCAGACTTCAAAGTCCCGAGTCAGAGGCGTCCCTCGAGCTCCTGGAGATGTCTGAATAAACATTTCATCTTCTGCTGCCACTGTGAAGCCAGCAACATCCCGATCCGCCTGGACAAGCGGAGGAGCCAAGCCACCGTCCCGCTGCTCCCCGTCACTGCGCAGAGCACACCCGTGTCCCCGCTGACGCCGAGCTGCGTCCTTGGAGCTGCTGGGTGTGAGCAGAGGGGGGAACTGCCCCTTCTCCCTGCACGCAAACACAAGAAGCAGCACTAATTAAACCCACAGAGAACTGACCTCTCCCTCTCTCCAATCAAGTGGAATTAATTAGAAGCCAGGCCATTGACAGGCAGTTGTTTATGACTTCTGCTGTTCACCCCAAAGCTTTCCTCCCCACTGCAGACTGCTCAGACCCGGCCCCGGGGAGCCAACATTTCAGCCCTTTCCCTTTCAGGCCCACAAGTAGTGGGTAGCAGAGAAGGAGGAATGGCCCTCCTTTATTTTTCTTTAAAATATTTCCAAAAAATACCTTCCAGAGCAGAGCTTCTCAGGCTGCAGCTCCATCGCACACGCAGTAGAGATTTCCATGGTATTTTAAGCAGCTGGCAGGGATGGTCTGGAAGGGGAGTATCTTTTCCTGGGGTCAGGAGAACCTCAGTTTCTGAGGCTGAACCTCAGTTTCTCCTGATTTACTGGAGGATTCCACAAGGCCCTTCCACAAACACAGCCCTGCCCCGAGCAGGGAACAGCGATGCTCCAGGGCCAGGCATGCACAGGGTGGGCAGCCAGCACCAGCTGCGTCAGAGCTTGTCGCCTCAGGCACCACCATCCCCACACATGCACTGGAAACCCTAAACTGACCATTTTCATGATTGCCTTAACCTGGTGAAACATTAAAAAAAGGGAGACACCCTTCAGAAAAAAAAAATTATAGCCATTTTTTGAATGGGAGGCTTTCATTTTTCAGGTCAGAGAAGCCTTTCCCTTTTAGACCGTGCCTTGATTTTCCTCCTTCTAAAACCCAACCCAGATTTCATTTGATCTGGTCAATCAAGAAGAAAATCTGTTCAGGCTACCGATTGCCTAAAACCATTGATATGGGGTGATAATTTCTTCGTTTCTCAAAATTTCCAACCCACCAGCTGCTTAACATGCAGCCCCCCCCCCAGCTGACTGAAGCCCCCCATACTTCCCCATTGAATGGAATGGGGAACAGTCCCTATAGCCATAGGGGGTATTATGGGATTCTGCAGGGTTTGGAGGCTAACCCAAAGCTCAGGGACACTGTGAGGGGAAGGTCCTGCACAGGCTTAGGGTTCCCCACATCCTGAGCCCCAAAAGCGGGCCCATTCCACAAGGGAAGGGCACACAGGGTGAGAATAAAGCAAGCCCAGGGCAGCATCCTTACCACCAAGGGCATAGCACCAGAGGAGCAGAACAGGTTTGGTGGCCACAGAAGGGTCAACCACAGCACAGCAATCTCCAGAAAGTCCCTAGGGATGAGGCAGCTCTGAAGTCAAGCCAGGAAATCCAGACCCCAGCAGCACACCAAGAGCTGGAGCTGGAGCTGGAGCTTAAATACAGCTCTTGGGCCTATGGGTGGAGGGCACTTGGGTAGAGACCCCAGATGAGGTTCGTCAGGGAAATTAAGGGCTGGTGGTACACTCAGGCCCTGACGATCACGTACTAATAGGTCTTGGTCCTGCTTCTCCCCAGCTTCTGGGCTGATCGTGGTGGCAAGTTCTCAGTCAGTTCTTCTCTGCCTGGTGGAGGCACAAATTGGTATGCACAAATGTGTCGCGATCAACGCAGGTTGGTCAAGCTTCAGTCAGGTTGTCGTTCAGTAAAGCGCTTGTGAGGAGGAAACTTGAAGGATGCAGACTTGGAAACTGCCTGGTGGGGTCCAAAATAGATAGATATGGGATGGGTGTATCCATGGGCGTTCGCCACCATCATCAGCGGCTGGGAGAAGCTGTCTTTCTGGCTTTTCTGGCCCCCGAAGGATGTTGCTAAACCGGAGAGAGGTCAGAGGAGAGCTCAGAGAATGATTAAAGGATTGAAAACCGCACAAGATCTCGAGAGCCTCTGCGGGCTCGGTCGGTTGAGTTTACCAAAGACCAGGCTACAGGGTGGTGTGACCACGGTCTGTAGGAACTTGCAGAAGGACCAGGAGTTTGATAAGGCAGTGGCTTGCTGATAAAGGCACGGCACGACACCACGGCTGGAAGTCAAAGTTGGAGAAGTCCAGGGAAGAAACGAGGCGCTGAGGCTGAGCAGACGGAGCTGGTTAAACCGCCGCTGCGCCAGGCTCGAGGCTTTGGATCTCCGGCGTCCTCGCGTCCCCATCACGGTGATCACCAGCCCAAAGCGAGCCAGAGCGGTGATGTCTTGCCCTGGGCTGGTCTGGACCACGGCATCACCACTCGTTGCTCTGTGAAGTGACCCGGGCAGCTTTTTGCACCCACCTGGCATAGGTGCAGAAGGTGACAGCGGGTTCAAGAAGCCGGTTGTCCCTACCTGTCCCCCATCTCCTTCTTTCCTGGGGTGGTGGGTGCCGTGTTTCTCGCTGAGCTGCCATTCCCAGGTCTAGGCACAGCATGGCTGGAGGGAAGCAGATGGGAGTTAAGCGCCCAGATCCCAGGGACGCGCAGTGAAATTTGCCTGCGCTGTTCCCCGAAGGCTTCTTGGCAGATCCCGGCTGGAGGAGCTGTTCTTGTGGAGAGCGCTGCTTGGCTGAGAAGCTCACACGGGCCAGGGAAAGGGGCCCCTCTCCTGTAGGAAACTGCCTTTTCTCAGCTCTGTTTCTCCCCCCCACAGACGCTTCTCCGCGACGGCAAGCGGGAGAGTATCATGAGCACCCTTTTCATCGCCCCCTCCGACATTGAGAACGGGGAGAACATCGTCTGCCGCGCCACCAACAAAGCCATTCCCGGCGGGAAGGAGACCTCCGTCACCATTGACATCCAGCGTGAGTACGCGGGCGGCCGAGCTGGCTCTGGGCGCTGCGTGATCCCAGCCTCCCCGCCCTCTCCATGGCGTTGTCTGACTCCGGTCAGGAGCGGGATGCTGGGATTTGGGGGTTTCCTTTTACTGGGATTGACTGGTACATTGATACGGTGTAGTCAGATGGGAGATCTCACCTCCTCTGAGCTCCCTGGGGCACCAGACAGACACAAACACCCACGGGGAGAGGCTGCTTCCCAGCTTTTACATCTTGTGTCCGTGATTTGGAGCAAAAGCAGCCCCAGCTGCCACAATCTGGTGGCCCCTGGGCGTTGCGTGCCCTGGTCCAGGCCCCTGGTGTCTCTGGAGCAGGGATGGATCCCGAAAGGTTTTGGCTGAGCAAGCAGCATCTCCGGACACAGCCGGTAGTAGAGATAAGGCCCGTTAGATTTCTGGTACAAGAAGGCGTGTTTCCAGCCTTGTGTGTCGTTCTCCACGGAGATGGCATGTTGGACACGGGCTCGGTGGGACATCTCCCTCCCGTGAAACGCGGCGAGCGGCAGTCACCGTCTGACGGGGACGGGCGCGCGTCGGCAGCCGTATCATTCACCCTTTACTGTAAATCCACCAAGCAAAATCCTCCTTCCTCGACAACTCGCGTTTCACAGCTCTCTTCCCTCCTCCTCTGCCACAGCTCTCGGGCTCGTCCCGACCTCCCCCCAGCCGGGCTCCGTTTGCGGGCACCGTTCCTGCAGCTGTATTTACCGACAATTTGCAAGCGCAGGGTGTTCAATATTAGCACGCCAGCTGCTTTCCAGAGCCCAGGTAAAACTGGCTGAACAAACTCAGGCACGGCAGAAAATTCACCCTTTAAGACTCCCAGCTTCTGCTGCCGGCCCGTTAACGGGCTCTTGGGTCGCCGGGTGGCATGTCCTGACAGAACCGGGCAGATGAAACGAGAGGAGAGCGTGGGTGATCTCGCAGCCGGCAAAGAGCTGGAGACGCGCGCGCTGCTCGCAAACGGCGCGAAGCCGGAGGGGTCGTTACGCTGTGCGGGGCGGGAGATGCGAGCTGCATCCCCGAGCCTGACGGAATCGGCGCTGGGAAGAGAAAGACCCAACAGCGGACACCGATCTCCATTCCGAGCCATTAAATACTCCACACTGTGAAAGTAATAATAATAATATCCCATCCAGCTATTAAAAGTATGTTGTTCTTAATGGGGTCTGACGAGGATATCGATTTCCCGGTGCTGAGTGGGTGATGGAGGGATGGAAAAACCCCAAGATGGGTTCACCAGCCTGCGGCGGGGCGGAC